CAAAATTAAAAATAGATATGCATGTATAAATACTACATTATTATCAAGGTGGATATATGTAGATGAATATCATAATCATATATTGAATCCATTTAAAGATGGCCCTGTACATTCTCATAATATTATGCAAAGCATGCATTGCCATTTCTTGATTCCAAAATTTTGTGACAGATTTGATGGAAGCATAAGGTAAAATTCACTGAGAACGGTAAACCTGGCCAGATCAGATACCAGTATCTGGGAAGATGGACTTTTTAATAGTCGCCTCCTTCAAGAGAAAAACAGACCAAAAAATCTGAGGTTAACAATTTCACAACTTTTTTAGCAAGTTAATGAAGTTCATAAAGATGAGTAACAAAAAAGGAAAATATATGTTGGCTACAATTTGATTAATAATGTTCAAAATGTAAAAGCATGGGAAATTTTTCATAATAAAAGCAAAATTGTTTTGAAATTAGCAAGACAAAAATGTTAGCCCTTGATTCAGATATTGGTTACCACCGATCTCATTTACAGTTACCTCAATTTCTATCTTTATTCTCAAGATTTTGATTGGTCACTTGCATATCATGAGGCTTACCAGTCATACATAGATTTTCTGAAACCTTCTGGTTAACAGAAGAACTAGATTGTGTTATGGTTTCCACATTAGAAACTGGATAATGCCACAAAACCCCATATTATTTCCCAAAGGTCACACCGAGATGGAGAGTAATTGCCAATGCGTGCTTATATAACAGTTTTCATTTTATGAAAAAGATAGAAGGACATTTATTCACACTGTCCTCTGCATATAATCACAAGTTCATTAAGGGATATAAGTTGTGGGGCTGTTTTTCCTTCTTCTACTTAATAGAGCAGTAAGTGTCTTGAGAGCCTTGGTCTTATCTTCAATGCTATCTCACTTTCTGCAGCTCCTGTCTCAACCATGATGGCAGAGGCTGTCCCAGTCTATGCAGCAGTTTGGATAGCTCCACATTATGATCTCGATAGTAATTAGAGAGGAACGTTCTAGACTGAAAAGCAAAACAACATAAAAAGAATATTCGAAAGATGTCATTAGTTCATCAAACTAGAATGTACACTCTATATTTCCCAATTGTGTATTCCAAATTTGTATTATTACAATGGAAGTGTCTATAAACTATTTGCATGGGACTCTAGACAGGTATTAACTTGGGTGTAATGGAAGGTTGTAGTTCATACAAAAGGAGTTCTGGTGGCAGACTGCATTACAAGATGGTCTGCTAACCACAGGTGAGCAATTCCAAACTATCAGCTGATCCTCTGGTGAAAGAGGAAGCAGTCTATTCCAGTAAAAAGTTACAATCTTGGAAACCTGCAGGGCATTTCCTTCTTGTCCTACAGGGTCACTATGAGTTGGAATTTACCCAGTGTAATGAGTTATAGGTGATGCGTGAGCTAGTGAGTGAGTGATGAGTGAGT